TACTATATGTTCTGCTTTCTTCACATCTGTGTTCAAACATCTGTATGGGTTGTTATATTTGCATTTACCTCTTTGCTTTAAACTGCTTTACACGAATTCATTATCAGAGTGTGTCCTGAAAAGTTTAAGAATTAAAATTACAAATTTAAACATTAAAAAACAAATTAAAATGATCAAATGAGACATCTAATAATTCTTAAATATAATGGGCAGCCAAGTACATTTGACATTTTAGGCTGACATGAGTGACTAACAGTTTTACTTACATGTACAAATATCAAAAATCATTTAAAATGAAGTGGGGTTTAGGTGTGTCAAATGATTCATTTCTTTAAAAACAATGAATCACAGAATTGCAACAGTTCATTGTGATTAATTGCATTCTAAATTGTATGTTTGAAATGCTTTTTAAAAATTGTTTAAGTCTATATAACTTTTGCAAATCATTTTTTTATCATTGTATTGATTTAAAAATCTAATAAATTCCTCCTTATGGGCTTTGTTATCTTGATTTTAGATTTACATATTTACACTGCCGAAATCAAGACTTAAAGGTAGAAGTCAACCTCATACAGCGTTTATGTTTATCTTTAAAGGACAGCACTGAAAAGTGCCAAATCAGTGTCAACCGGGTCCAGTTATTCTGAGATTATTTTGATCACTTACTGACTTCCAGTGATCCTCGGTTAATGCAATATTTGCCCCTTTTGCAGGAGTTCCAGTTTGGTTTCTTTCTATCTTTAGACCTGTATGCATCAGACATTCAGACCCTGTGATGGTCACAGTATGACAACCTGTGGATGTTCCTTAGACCTCAGACTGACGAGCGATGAAGTAAATGAAGTCTGTGATGATTCACACACTCCCAAACAATACTCCTTAGGCCTCTGTAATAAGATAGTAATAGGCTTCCTTGGTTTAAAGACTGTTTTTGAGTGTGATATATGTGTGTAAACTGTTGAAAATGATCTGAATTGACAATGTTATTTGACACCTTGTAACACCTGATCCTGGTCATTTTGTGCAGATTGTCAAAGTCCACTCTTAAGCCAGTGTCTTGTGTGAGCTCAGAGCCAAGAGTGTGTGTTAGTAAATGAACTGTAAAAACTGTAAGACACCTGAGAGGAGATTCAAGATTCAATCATCTTTATTTAACCCAGAAGAGCAATCTGATTTTATTACTACCCAGTGACAACACCGCTAAAGAGCCAACACAGTATTCATACATGTCGGTGACAGCAGATCTGTTCGAGGAGGTTTGAAAGAAAATAAAATACTTTAAAAACACAACTCCAAATAAATATTTGGACTAAACTATTAAAGATAGTAGAGCACTGAGATTCAGAGGCAATTTAAAAATACTGATAATGGTATTAACATTGCAAATTCTTGGATGTAACCCTGAGAAACCTCCTGAAGACAAAAGAAAAAGGTGAGTGAAAAAAAGCCACAAATATTCAGGCCGAATGTTCAGAAGTTGAGCAGAAAGTGAAGAAAGAGGGTGAAAACTATTCAGAGTTCCTTTTGTGCGCTGAACCTGTGTGATTTGCACACCTTCTAATTCCTCACTCCTTCAACGTTTGTCCCCGCTCAAACGGAAAAATTAAATGAAATGAACTCAAAGAATAGTCCCTGTAATATTAATGAAGCTCTGCAGTTTGCATGGTGAAAAGAAAGATGCTTTTCCTACATGCCTGACTTACGCACAGCCCCGAATCACACACTGAGAATAACTCGATGTGTGTCTGTCTCAAAGTGAACAGATGTACGTACCTGCAGAATCATATTTCCAGTGCTACAAACATGTTTTTATGCAGAAACAGTCAGTATCATATGTGTAACCTTATGAGCCCCCCCCCCCCCCCCCCCCATGTCAGAGCTGATGGTTATCAGGCCTGGTTTCATTTCATCCATGTCACTTTGACAAATCAAAACCTGATCTTCTGTTTGCTGTGCCCAATAATACGAGCTGTTAGCCCAACATTAAAACGTCCTTGATTTCAGTTGGAATTAATCACTGAATAAGTCATAAGTTGTTAAATTACAGACAATAGAAACCTCGTAAAAGACTCAATCCTCTTCTACGTGCTCATTTTGCTGAAACCCGCCCTCCCTCTTTACCGTCCAGACTGCTGTATGAAGTCTCACACTGTGAGCTTACTTACACTTCACTGCATTAAGTGGGAACGCACACAAGTAATCAACATATTCATCTTAATACATAAAACAGCATCAAATCCTTTGTCAACTGAAACCCTGTGCACATGGGACCACTGCTATTCATGGGCTGAATGTAATTCACGGATCTCTGCCGACACGTGTGTCCTGAAACACATCTGCACCCTGCACCTGAAGACACAGTCAAACCCCGCATCTGTGGGCTGTTCATACCAGGCACATTTCATCTGATTATAATGAAAGCAAAGGTTTCACTTCATTATTAAGGATACCAGAATAAAAAAGCTCTCAGAAAAGAAAGTGAATTTATCTGAAGTGTACAGTATTTATGTATCTAAAATGTTTTTAAATCAAATATATTTGACATGTGAGGCGTCTAAATTGATAAAGTTCAGAGAAGAACAATTGCATTTTTGGTGGAAAAAGCCCCACCCACTGCCTCACCATGTCAGCAGTGTGAAATGATTGAGTTTTATGTGTTTTTTTGTTAATTTAATTTAATTTAATTTAATTTTAGTCTTAAGCTAAAGAAATGAGCAGAATCCACAGAGACAGAAGCAAATGTATTTGCTGTTTCTGATCATCACATTTCAGGATCTTTCCACTGATTGGGGCAAAGACTTCGGCTTTATCAAATCAGCTTGGGGTGCCACTTTTGGTCTAGTATATAAAGGCTGTGATCCTTTTGGCAGCAGTCGCTGGTTCAATGCCTCGTCAACCCTGTACTTCCCACATTTTCAGCCTCTCTTCAGCTGTTTGTTGTAGGATAAAATACCCCAAAAATAACCTTATAACAACGTTAACAAATATTAGCTTGTTGTTACGATGGTGAATGTATTAACTAGCTTTTCATTTAGTCTGATTAATTTAACTATCAGATGAATTATCTTGGAGAAAAAAACTTAGAGGGAAGAAATATAACAGGACAGGAAAATGATGTATATGAACTCATACAGCTTCACTGGTTAACTAGTTTAAGACTGTAGTGAGCTTGTTCATCATTAGATTCCCCCCCTGTGGTATTCTCATATACTCCATGACTTTATTTAAACATAAAGCACCAACGAATATTACTGTAAAGTGTTACTACGATGATTTAAGAAGACAACTGCTCATGGATGGTGTTGGTGATTCTGCTCACAAAAGTAACTTTCTGTGTAAGATTATTGGTAAGTTATTATAGTCCTGTGTTACTTACAAACAAAGGGAACATGGTTAAAAACCCCAAATCCCTGACTCAATATGAAAAAATAATAAATTCATATCTGTTTTTCAGTACTTATAAAGTTTGATGTCCATCACAAAAACAGATATAAACTTAAGTACAATTAATTAGCTTGTGATTATGAGGAAAGCTTTCTGAGTCAGAGACAGTCTTCAAAAGATCTTGGTACTCTGGGTATCCACATTTGCGATCAGTGTCATGTCTATGAGGGGTTAATGTGCATTTGTGTGAGTGCTCCATACTTGGATGTGACTTGTGGCCCATTTAGCTATGCCCATCAGATGGCACACTGGTGATGGAGATGAGCAAAGTGGATTTGCTGTGATGGATGTGACAGAACGACTGAGTGATTGTGCCGCCTTTTTAGCAGAAACATTTATTCACATCAATATTCATTCATGCACCTCCTTTAAAACACAATAAATCCTAGTCCAGGCATGCAGGAGTACCAGGGCCAGAGGCTGAGGATGGACACTAGACGACGTGTTTGTGTATTTGTGCGCTGCGCAGGGAGAGGCTGGTTGTAAAAGAAAAGAAGAACATGTGTGAGAAAGTGTGAGACAGGCTGAGTTCATTCCCCACTTGGCAATTCAATATCTTTGCATGAAAGGTAGAGATACTCGCTCGCCCGACCCTGAATCCCCTCTAGAGGGAAAAAAAAAATCATCACTGATGGATATAATTTTAGAGGAAAAATGAGTCAAAGAGGCAGAGAGAGGATATAAAAGCAGATTATATTTAAGCAGTAATCAGGACAGTGAAGAGCTTGGGAGATTTTAATATGTTTAAATGTTCTTAATTGGGCTCAGAGTGGAGTGGGGCCCCCTGAAAGCATCCACCCAAAACAGTGCTCTAAAGGTAAAAGCAGATTGGCTTTTATTGAATTGTAATGAGAAGTGGGAAATTGGATGTTAATTCCGTCCCCGGAGTAAGTGAGCGCTCCCTCTGCTCACTGCGAGGTGTAGCTGTATCGGGGTCGTGCGATTGAAGTTGCGTTGCACCTCGTTCAGTTATTTAAGGTAAGGGGGAGGGCGTTGTTAAAACTTAATGAATTTTGCGCTTGGTGATATACTGTATGTGCCAAAGAAAGTGTGCCAGTATTTGAGTATCTGCTGGCACTTATTCACCGACATGAACACACACACACACACTTTCATGATGTCTATAGATGGTGTGATCACGTTTAGCGCTGACACCGCTGTCACGGCTTTCACCTTATTGAGGCCTTGTAGGAATTACATCGCTGAAGATGTGCTCCAAGCACACTCTAAGCACACCCTGAGCTGTGTTTCTCTGCAACTCCGGATATTATCAAGATTTCACACTGGGAAGGGAAATATTAGTGTGGCAGACATATCTGCCAATGCAAACTTGCATCTAAAAAGGCGTAGCGACAACGCAGCTCAAAAACAGCATTTCCATGCACTCAGTCCCTTTGAATTGTAAAATCAGCTTGGCAAAAGAAGCGGCACCATAAAATTCAGCTGTGGTTTTCTTTCAGCCAAAGCGCTTTTCTTTTGTAGGGAAGGGGGGGTAGAAAAAAAGGAGGGAGAAAAGCCTAGGTCTTAGCTGTGAGAGCAAGAGTGTGGGGAAAAGCATGGGTCCATCTGGCAGCCGGAGAGGCAGCTTTGTGGAGATCGGGTCCAAGACACACTGCTACAGAAGGGTCCTTCTCCGCGACACCTGCAGAATACCTCCGAGCTCCCGCTGCCTGCCTGCTCGCATTGTTCTACACAAAGTATGGGCATATGCCACCACAACCTCTGCTCGTCCTCGCCCAAACCTGGTAACAGAGGATAGGCCTCTCAGATTACATTATATCCTTGCACACACAAGCACAATGTGTGCACATGCAGAGACGGCAGTCATAGTGGCGTCCTGTCATCCTGTCAGCTGTTATTAACATGCATAAATGTATCGATACGCAGAGGGAAAGAGATGGAAGAGAGTCTAATGAAACAAACGGACACAGATAATAACAAGAAGAGGGAGCAAATAGGAGAACGAGAGAATGTGTAAAAGAGGAAATGCAGGAAAGATAGAAAGAGAGAGATGTCTCTTTTATTTACCCTCATGCTTCACTGCTCCTGAGAAAGGGGGAGGACATGGGGGCCTTCTCACCCAATTTGCTGTCTGTGTCTATGTGTTTCTCAATTGATTTCTCTGACAAAGTCCAGAATCATTTTTCAACCCTCCTTCATCCTCTCCCTCCTCTGCCTCTCTCTTTATCTCCTCCTCTCTGTCTGTCTTTCTCTCATACATCAGGTCACAGGCTGCCTCTCTGCCCTCATCCTCGCTCAGAGGGTGCTCCAGCCTCCCCCCCAGCACACGAAGATGTGCCTGAGACAAGAATAAAGGCTGCATCAAATAGCCATCACGTGCCTTAAATATAGACTATTTCACAGATGTTTTATGAAAATGAGAATTAGGACATGCTTGAAGCACACTGATGACAAATCCTCTCTAAGCTTTAATTAGGAACCGTGTAAAAAAAAAAAAAAAAACAGCCAGTCCACCGGCACGTACAACTTTTAAAGTGTATTAAATGCTGCAATCATATTTAAAAACGTTATAATCTCTCTATATAATTAGAATTTTATGCGTAATTGAGAGTGCGAGTCACAGGTCAAGGTGAGTGTTAATTCTCACACAAACCCTCCTCTGCAGCACAATGACAACACCAGCGCAGTTAGATTGATGAAAACTGCTTAAAAGTACTATTATTTATTTAGGCCCTGAAAAAAAAAAGTTAAAAAAAAAAAGAATAGGACGGATGAAACTAAATCTCCTTATATGTCGGTTTTCTTTTTGGGGCTTTACTCTCACATTCACCCCTCAGCTAATAGGCGTAATATCCTTTTTTACACAGCTTTCTGTATTGATCTAAACAGCTCTGAAAGAATATGAAACAGAAAACCCTCATTATGCTTTCAGCAGAGCTGACTGTAAACCTCAGTATCAGATGGTGAAAAGAGCAGTTCAGAGCGGGAAGGTGTGTGTACATTACAGTCATTTTAATATTTAAATACCAGATTCAGACACATTTTTCTATTAACAACTATCAGCTACTTTTTAATGCTTTAATCTCCTCTCATACCTTTTTTTGTGGGTTTTGAGAAAAACTGTAAAAAGGAGAGAAATAAACAAAAGTTAGCTTCAACTTTTCGGACAGGTTTAATATTAAAATGTAAAATCTGTTCACAGGGGTATGGCTTTTCAGCATGGGAATTATCCGGGTCTCTTTCTGTAGTACTGATAGATCAAGTATCGGCAGCAAAAGCAGCCTCCTGTGCGGAGAGCAAATGCAGGCAGATACATGCACACTGCTGAGATGACATTCTGGTTCCCACCTGCAGTCAAATGATGTGATTTATTTTTTCTCTGTTAAAAAGATATCTCCATGCCAATGCAAGCACTAAAGAGGGGCTGTCCTGACATACTGGTAATGATGATAACTGTCATTTTGAAAATATAAAATATGATACCGCACCAGAATAAGCAGACAGTAATACAATGTCACTAATTGGTTTGGAGGATGGAGCAGTGGGGGTTCTTTACGATGACACCCGTTATAAAACAGCAGCAGAAGAAGACTAAGCAGCCAGCTAGTCAGCTAGCGTCCACTACAGTGGGCGAGAACTACAGCTGCGTTAAGGTCTTTACACACTGAGGCAAATTTGGGAAGCAATTAATTCCCTTTTATTTAAACCTAATTAAGTGAGCACAAGCTTCAACACCAGCTACAAACTTCTGCAGAGTGAAAAAGTGACTCATTTTTTTGCCCCTGTAGCGAATTTTGAGAACATTTGCAGGCAAACTGCTACATTAATCTATAGGCTAATATAAATTTTACTTCAGACATGTGACAAGCTGTTGCTCTGGATCAATCGGCTCTGTGTAATTTGTCCTCTCTTTCTGCAGAAGTGGAGTCAGCTGATGGAGAAGTTCTTGAACCGTCCGAGGGACATTCTGGAGTATTGTCAGAATTTCTCGGGATACAATTTGAGCTCCCGGATCGTTGTGTAGAGCTCCCCTATCTGCTGTCGCAAGGTGAGGATGTCGTCGCCATTTTTTCTCCTTCTTCTCTCTCCCCCTCTGTTTATTGGGGTATTTTTATGCGAATATGCGAATTTTATTTGCGTCACACCAAGGGTGTTTGGGAAAAGGCGTAAGCTAAATATTTCCCATGTCCGCGTCACTTCACTATTTTGCCGGTGTGTAATGACCTTTAATCAGGTCAGAGGTGATGACAGATGACAGCAAACTACTCTACCCTCACCCATAAATGTTTTCACGCCAGTTTTGATAAAAATGATAGAGGTCTCTGGGTAAGTGTAACATAGCATTACATTGAAATGAAAATTGATGTCATGAGGCCGGTGAAAGAGAAAGAACATAACTTTGATCATCATTAGAGACTAGTGAGGATGTGAAAGTAAGTCAGTCACATTTAACAGCAACATTCATGAAGTAACCGGTTACTCTGCCCTGGTCTTGGTTTTTTCTAACTTGACTGAAATCGCTGTTTTTGGTATCAGAAGTTACTCTGGCTACGATAACTGTGAGGTGAAAATGTAACATTCATACTGCCCCTTCTTCTTAGGACAGATCTGACAAAGGTGGCATTTTTATCATGACGCTATTTCAGTAAACTATCTCTAAAAAATGGGTTTCTTTGTGACTCAGTCAAAGTGAGCCACAATGGAGAGTCTGCTGTTAAATGCAGACCTGACAGAACTTGTAACAGATAAACAAGCGCCATCCTGAGGGACGTTTTGGACCAAGAAATGACGGTGTTTACGTTGCAGCTCAGAAAAGGGAGTTCAGGCTGGAAGATGGTTTTACTATCACTGGCTTCATCTGATACTGAAAAGCTAGTACAGGTCGCAGAGCTTCATATCACCTTTAGCTGTCAGATGATCATAGACACTGATTACTGCTTGAGGGAAGTAGAAGTTTGTGTATATACTGCAAACAGACACACAAGAAAACATATCTAAAATTGCCTCCCAATTAAGATCAAGAGGCCAATCAGTGAGATAACAACAAACATTAAGCACAGAGAAGAACATAAATACAGAAATAAAGGAAGAGTCAAGGAAGCAGAGAAACAGACTCATAATTTACAGGAGTTCAGACTTTTCTCTTTCTGTTTTACCTATTGGAACAAAAAAGCCTTTGACCTGCTGATAAGGACAAAACCAGCCTTAAGCTCCTGGATTAGTTATCCTGTCCAAAATAGCAATACTCTTCTCTAGTAAAATCTTTTTTTTAAATGTCTATATCCCATTCCATGTCAAATAAATGTATATGAACTTAGGTAAATATCAGTATACAGTATGTAAAAAAGCAATATTGTCCAACATGTAAAATCATCTTTTATCTCTGCTCAGCTTGTGCGCTACATTTCAGGGTTGAGAAGTTGTTCTTTCATTTTCTATGGAGAAGGAAAATAAACCAGTCATGTCATATTGTTCTGTTTATATAAAAATCTTATTGTAGTTCTGACTGCTGTATTTTGAACCATAGCGGCACACAACCAGCTTTAAATGTGTCCTCTGGAGAAAAAGAGCCGAAGTTTTGTGTATCTCCTCCAGGATTGTCCCTGTACATTGTCAGAAGTTGTGAGAGTCTGAGGAGTGGTGCTGCGTGAATGGGAGGAGGTCCAAAGCAGAGCGTTGGCTATCAGGTGATCACTTGACACGGGTCAAGTTGTTGGGCTGATCTCTTGAAGAGGCGAGGGGCCACTGCTAACAAGACCACTTATGGTGCTGACGGCTTTAAGTATAGCAAGCCATTAGAGGAGCATTGTTCACACTGACTCGAGTGTGAAATGATGTGTGGAGAGATAGAGAGTGGTAATATTACCATTATCACAGGGTCATCTCAGGAAGACATTGATCTAGAGGATTCTTGTTAACACAAGGTAGGAGACTCTGACTTCTGATAACACTCGAGCTTGTTAAAGCTTCCTTTGTCTGACGACATGAGGCCTTCCAGTGTTAAAAAGCAGGGAATAAATCAGCAGGGAAAAGGGGAAGCAAGTCCTCGCCGTCTCTGTAGGTGATGCATCTCTCTGTTGGATGCAGGATTTAGGTTTGAAATGTTCAAGTGTCACATTATCAGTGAGTCGATGGCCCCATAGAGCCGCTGCTGACGCTCTACTGGCCTCTGTGTTGGGTTTCCACTGATACTGATGGCCCCTATTGATCCCAGGAGGGCTCATGTGTTTGAGATAGCTCCCATCCCCCTCACATTGTGCAGGCTGAGATAAAGGCTCGCCAGACGTGGAAAGTTGCAGGCCAAAAGTTTGAGCTGAAGAAAAGAGAAGAAGAAAAGAGGAAAAATGGAGGAAGTTTAAGCTGTGGAGCCCTTCCCCTGAAGGCAAGCTGGCCTGCCATCTGTGCAGGCTCTCTAGCCATAGCCACCACCCCTGGAAGAGAGAGAGGAGAGAGGCAGCCAGGGAAGGAAGGAGGGAGGGAGGCAGGGAGGGAGGGAAGGATGGAGGGAAAGAAGGAGATACTGACTAGGAACAGGACAGAGGAAGGAATGGAGGACAAATGGATGGACAAAGACAGAGGCGCCTTGTGAACTAAGGTATCTCACTCCTGAGTGCTTTGTAAGAGGTCAACTTTGGGACCTCCTCTGAGGACGGAGATATAACCTCTGCCATCAGACGGAGAAGAGAGAAGTCAGTGCGGCCTTTAGAACAAAAAGCAGCCCTTTAACAGGCGGACATGAGCTTTGCTTTTCTGCCACTGACACTGACTCCACTTTTTAACGAAAAAAGGATCCCAGTTTGTTGCCTTTTTTTCCTTTACTCCCCTTTCCCGGGAAAATCTGCCAGAGCTTATCCATCGAAGCCAACACATGAACTTTCAATCAGGGATTAGCCGGATTTTCCAATATGGATCTTCTTTTGTGAATTTGGCCAGCGTCGCCTGTGTCGTTGGCAAAAGGAACGTAAATAGAATATGATCCCTGGGCCAAGGGATTGCCTCGCTTATTTCAAAGAAAGACTTCAAAAACAGGGCCCACTCAGCCTGCTCCACCAGTGTGATGATTCTGTGGTTTACAGACCGTCCTCTACATCAGACCACCAAAAACGTCCAACTAGGCCTGGGCATGCTCATGCTGCTCTCAGGCACTTTGTCCACAAGGACAAAAGAAGTGAAAGAAAGGGACAATATGGCAAAAAGAGCAGCTAAAGAAAAGACGTGATCACAGCAGTGACAGGGGATGGCAGACATTTTGCTCTTTGCTCTTCTGGTGAGTATGACATCCCTCTATCTCCTCGAACACTCCCCCCACCCCACCAACCCCCTCTATCTCCATCTTCCGGTCCTGCTACCTCTTCTCTTCTGTCACTATTGTTCCCTCGTGCTGACGTCCAGTCTTCGCAGATCTAGATGCTAATCCTAGCTTACCGTGCTGGCGGCTCTGATAAGAGAGGCCCTGCCATACGACGGCAGTGTGTGTGACTCCCGTAGACTCCAGTGCTCTATCAGACCACTCCATGTGGCCACGGGCCACCGCGGAAGTTGGACCGCAGTCTATCTGAATGAGGCCTTGTATGCAGGAACACACATGGGCACATGCACACATGCATTTACTGCCATGAAGAAGTGTATGGATCACATGCACGCATACAGAGGCGCCGAACCGCTGAGACATAAAGAAAAAGAGTCATACAAGAGCTAGCCGAGAAGATTTAGACTTCCACATGGGCAGAAGTTTTATCTTAAAAAGGAACAATAGGCAAATATGCCACCCAACTGAGCATTGTGTTTGTTCTTTAAATGTCAGAGTGAAAATCCCCCCTACTTTGAAGAAGATAGGCCTTTAATCAGCCTCCTAACGCTGTTGCATCCATCATTTGCCACTTGGCTCGGCCATGCAACAGACTTAACAAACACTCTATGTTTACTCAACAGCAAGTAAAAAGATTATCTATAACTTCCCTCTGTCTTTGCCTCACTGCTCCTCTCTGTCCGTCTGCTGTGGCTGCTTGATGTCCCCATCATGCTGTCCCTCCTGTTGTAAGGTCCTCCTCATCAGGTGGATCGCCTCCTGTTGAAGCTGTGCCTGAAACTGATCAGAAAGTGATAGCATATCCACTACAGATGAGCACAAATATGAATATGAATTTGGAATGAGATAATGAGATCCAAGGATTATCTGGAGATGAAAGAAATGCATTCAGTTTCTTTATCATACTCTTCATTGACCACCTGCAGCACTTCAGCTCCAGTCTTAAATAATATAACTTTACAAGTGGAGATATAAAGTGTCAGCGGGCTTCTGTAGAGGTCGGGAAAAAAAACCCATGAGGAGAGCAAGACGAAGTGTGGTGTGGGATCATTTTGAGCGGAAAATGATGAGGTTTGCTACAAACACTGTGATGCTGTGTACAAGTAAAACACTACAACGACCCCAATGATGTACCACTTGAACCAAATACATCTGACTGAGGTTAATGCATCCTCTGAGTGTTCTCAGTCTAAACCTACCATCAGCTTGCTAGCAAGGAGGATATGTAGAGTGGCCAGACATCCCTGATCTGGGGGACAGTCCCTGTCTTGGATGACCTGTCCCCGTAAAATGTCCCCGATTTTAGCGTTTCATGAATGAGAAAAAAACAACGGTTATTACGGTAGCTGGGCCGGTAGGAAGCGGAAGTGAGCATGTAGCGCGCAGTGCTGAACAACAGTTGGGAGTGTGTGTGTGTGTGTGTATGTGTGTGTGTGTGTGTGTGTGGGGGGGGTGCATTTCAATTAGGAAAAACATTCTGCATTTTTTCTGCCAGTCGCATAAAAAGAACGGTCAAATTGATGATTGATCGTTAATTTATATGATTGATCGATCAAGGGACTTTTTTAAAGTGCCCATTCCCACTGCACACTGAAGTATGGCCTCCTGTAGTTGCCTGACACTGAGGGAGGAGGCTTTCATAGTTCAGCAGTGAAAATCCATCTGTGGGGCAGGTGGATTTCTACGACACCCTGATGATAAGTATTATTTATTACTGTTGTTGTTATTATTTTTATAATTATCGAATGTTGTTGGAGTTCAGACAGTTTATAAAACTTTAGTTAAAAATACGAATAATAAGCAAAACATCAAGTAACAGTGTAAGAAGGTAGCAAGGTGTTGCATGTTTAAGTGATATGCCAACCGTACATTGATTTGATGGATTAAAGGCAGAGCAACTGCAATACTGAAACTAACATGACTCTCCTGAACCTCATCTTTATTTTAATTCATCTGTTCCCATCATTCCTGATCATTTTAGCAAAAAGGTAACGTTTTTCGGTTTTCTATCAGAGTTCAGATACAGATCATTTTTGAGTCTACATCCCTCCTGTCTATATAGCTGGAGCAGAAGTCACCTGCACTCAGAAAGGACACATGATTTGCCTAACTACAGCCCTGTTTTCTTCTGTAAACCAAAGGATTAAAAGCTGTGAATCAAGAACCCATTTCATAAGGTCATACACAGAGGGGAAGTGAACGCCTCACACTCTCACAAACAGCAAACACAGGGTTGAACACACACACTTGGCTCGGGGGCAGAGCGCAGTCTTCTTTCCCCACCTATTCTTGTAGCGCTTTCTTCTTTTTAACGTATTTTTATCACAGTGGAGATCCTTGTCACAAAAACAAACTCCTCTTTTGTTCCTGAGTTCGAGTTGAGTCGTTGTTTGTTTCTGGGTTTCTCCACGGTGATGTGTGGCAGAGATGTGTGTGTGTTTTTGTTTTTGTGTGCAGGTTAATGTTTCTGAGACACCTTTTTAAGCTAATAAGAATCTGTTTAACCGTGTGTGTGTGTGTGTGTGTGTGTGTGTGTGTGTGTGTGTGTGTGTGTGTGTGTGTGTGTGTGTGTGTGTGTGTGTGTGTGTGCGTGTGTGTGTGTGATCGGGGTACGGCAGGTGTTGCTGGGGGTGCATTGTGTAAGTGTGTGTAAAATGCAAAAGGACCCTCCTCTTAGCCCACCTATCTCTCCTTCAATGCTACGGCTGAGATCCACGCTAAATTGAGCCCTCAGTGTTTATTTTTACACTTTGCATTGTAAATTAAAAAAAGAAGACGAAAGGGGGGAAATAAGTAGGATGGAATTGGAGGTACTGTCGCAGCTACATCTTTTTTCTAATTTGTTTCCCCGCAAATGAGATTGTTCTCCTTGACTAAGAAAGCAAATGTTACAGCCCAGAGCACACAGGAAGACGATGCATGAGAAATCTGCTCAATGTGTGTAAAAGTGTGTGTGTGTGTGTGTGTGTGTGTGTGTGTGTGTGTGTGTGTGTGTGTGTGTGTGTGTGTGTGTGTGTGTGTGTGTGTGTGTGTAATGGAAATGCTCAAATACACTTGATCTTTTATTTGGTGGCACTTTTCTCCAAGTGATGCTCACATGCTATTATAAGTTACTATAAGCTCCTTCTGGATAAATTATGAACAAACTGTAATCATTATATCCTCTTTGTAATATAAAATTATTGACACACTGAACAATGAAAACTGATACCACTAGAGGACAATTCCATTGACGGGACATGATTTCTGGCCTTTTTTAAAAGAAAACATGTTAAATTTGAGTTACATGAATGATATTTGAGACATTTCAGAGGTGACCTTTTAAACATTTAAAAACGGATAAAACTCTACAGGGTCTTTTTTTAAATGATCACCTATTTCTATTTTGACCGCCTTAAATGTGCAGAAGAAATGAGTTACTCTGAGTTTGTACAGGAAGCAAACACAAAACAAACTAATGGATAGATAAGTTCTCAAATCACCTGCTTTTCTGGGAAGATTAGACTTTTTTTGTGTGAGTTTTTATTCTTAAAACACTCCAGCTGTTATATTTATACTGCACAGTTAACAGTCACTGCTTATTTAGAATTTAATATCTGAATTAGAAAATATATATCTTAAAAAATATATAAATATACAGAGCTCCATGTGAATTAGCTGCACAGCTTGGCAGACAAGCCCATCACTTATATATGTACGTAATGGTTTAGTCTAAATCCCAACTGAGACGAGCTGATAAAAGCTCCAGTTTAAGGTAACTCAGAAGCTCAGAGCAGGATTTAAAGGTAATGACATTAAAAGCACTTTTTCTACAGTCACGGTGAGTTTAGAGAGACCTAAGGTTACAGCTGAGCCCTGTAGAAAATTCCAGGAAGAAGATCATGACAACAAATAAATGAAATTTAAATGAAATTGTTTATGCTCATGGATAAGTACTTAACATTCTTATCAAGTTCATGAACTGCTTGACCTTCCTTTTTTTAGCTGCACCTAAATTCTCAGTACAGCCTCCTGAGCTCCACAAGTTTTACCAGTCAAATCCACAAATTTTAAAACTTAGTAACACATGTATTGATTAAAAAATAGGCTAAAAGTTCAGACTTGACACCCACATTCACAGAGAAAATTTGCTTCAATTCAATTGCTTCAATTATGAACAGGCTATGGTTAAGGAAACGCTGCACAAAACAGAGCAGTCATCCTGTTATGCATGGTTTTTCCAGGTTCACACTGGTGCTCATTTAAACATTTTTTTAAGATGTGCTTCTCAGCGACTCTAA